TATTAGTCAATGTTTTAATTACCCAGCGTCTTTAATAAAAATCTAATGTAATTTTTCATAGAAATGATCTGACATGAAAAGCAAATTTTATCAAAAAACTTTTTGATTATCTACAAGGAGTAAACCGCTGACAAATGTCTGTATACTAATGCCAAAGTAATGCCAAAAATACAAATTAAATACCAAATTTCTCATATAATGCCCCACTAATGCCAAGCTGATTCCAATATAATACCACTAATACCACGAATAATATGTAACACATTTGTTTCACGAATTAACCTGTAACAATACTGGTAGGTACGTGCACAGATTTTTTCCTAGGTAACTTAAAAGTCGTTAAAAAGTCTAATTATATTTAAAGAAGATATAATTCCAACAAATTACATTATAAGGCCAATAATGCACAAGTAATACCATTAAAATTTTAGCGTTTTTAACTTGTGTAACATATTTCTTTAACGAATTAACCTGTAACAATAGTGGTAGGTACGCGCACAGATTTTTTCGCTAGGTAACTTATTAAGTCGTTAAACAGGCCTATAAAAGCTATAACAACATAGGTAACTAATATTTATAATTTAATTCGAGTTTTAATCTCAAATAATAAATGTTTTTACTGGTGTATTTCTGAAGTGTTCATTATTAAAAGTAGATATTCTTCAAGTTATGCGAAGTAATAAGTAATGTTTCCGGTGAGACCGCGTATATGTCACCGGATTCTGGTTAGTATAAAGACTTTTTCTATAGAAAGAGTTTTTTCTATATTTTCCTTTCAAAATAAGACTAATTTCTTCTTATTCTTTTAAATATTACAGTGTTTCTTTTTCCTAAAATGTTATACTTAATTTTCGCTTAAAATTAAAAAATCACAAATGGAGGAAAATATACGTTATTGAATAAAGTTTATACAAATCACTTTACCATAACAAAAAAGTAAAAACATGTCATGGCGGAAGATATTCAGGTGGCATTTCACACATTTATCTATTAAAATCGAGATTAAAATAATAAACTTGCGTAACATGTTATACACGAGATAGAAAGTTTCAGAATCGATTAATACGCAATACGCTACGCAGTCAACTTATTCCTATGCGCGGATGAGCGTCTTCAAGACTCTTCCTTCGGCCAGGGTCACGACGCCGCCGAAGAGGAATCGGCCTACGTTTGGCTAAACAGGCTGGACACGGTGGAGTACGATATTGGCGAGTCTGAATATTTATAAAAATTTGCAAAGTAAAATATGTTGGAAAAATAATTAATCCATACATATATAAAAGCTCAAAGGGTTTTTTTGTTGCATCCATCCCGCCGAAACCGCTTTACCAATCTTGATGATTCTTTTTTTAAATAAAAGGTATATATGTGTAGATTTGTTATGAAGTATTTTTATAGTGCTTAATGGCTATTTCTTTGTGTAAAACGACTAAATACTAAAACATACCTGAAAAACACCTAAAAATACCTCCAGAAATAATTTATTTGTCATTGTCAGTGGTGTGTCAGTTAGATTATATATTACGTTTTTAGATATTTTAGAGTGAGTTCATGCCGCCAGCTTTAGATACATAAATATTAGCACAAAGGTTCGTTTAAACGACATTAGTGAATTAGCTACACAACGCGATTTTAGGAAATTCATCCTCTTAGAGAGTAAAATTATCTCGGAACAGTTTGTTGTATGAAAATTCCTTACTATTTGGTCTAGAAGAATGAAATCCTACAAAAAGAATTAGAAGAAATTTTTGAAATTCATCAACCAAATGGGTAAAGTTAGTAAAAGTTTATATAAAACTTCGTGACCTCTGGATTATACACATAAAAATTGGCACAAAGGTAAAGCGAATTTATGAAATTTATACCCTTAGGAAGTAGAATAGGGAATGAAAGTTTGCTGTACGAAAATGCAATACTATAACATTATAAACCAGACAGTACAAAATTTTATACAAGGGTTTATTTAGTGACATCATAACGAAATATATCTTCCTCAGTTATCCTTCAAAGAATAAAAAATAACCTATAAAGAGAGTATTAGTACTCTTAATAAATAAAAAAAAGATGAAAAATAAAAAACATCTATGCTCACTAGCTCTCTATAAAGAAGTAAAAAATCATTTAAATCAATGCATAACCGATTCGAGGTGTAACGCGAACGTAGTCGCGAGAAAAAGCTAGTAATTTATTAAATTATTTTATTTAACTCATTAATTTTCATTGAAAAGGAATTTTTGTAATTCGCCACTATATTAGTTAAAAACTAAGAAACTCATATCAAATTTAAGTTTTGCGATTTTGACTTATACTTTTTACAAAATCTGAACACATTTTAAAAGAAAAAAAGTTTTTGATAATTGTTATGTATAATTGTGATTTGTGTAGATTGACTACAAGTTGTATAACATAAATTTCTACGACCGGTCTATCTAGTGGTCTGCAGCATCGCCTTGTGGTGCAAACGTGGGCCTGTTAATCTGTGATGTGACACACAACAGCCAAGAAAAACAGAAGCGTGGCTAAGAATTTAGTAATTTAAAAAAAAGTCTTTTAGATACAGTAGTAGGTATTAAAAAGTTTTGTGTTTAAATGGGGTTTGCCTTTAAGAGGTAAAAAGTTATATCGTAAAGTGTAACTTTCCGTAAGAATTCTTTATCTGTCATTGATCATGATCTGTCATCATGTTAACCTGATGTCTTGTATGTTATTTTGTTTTTTTCGAGGTTTTTTTGCTTGCTTGTTTTACGGATAGGTGCGATCGCATAATTATTATTGATAATGTTATATTTAATGTTAACATTACTACTTTTTCAGTGAATCTTTAAATCTGTTGTTTTTTGTTAAGTTCGTTATTTAAACATATGTATGTAATACACTCATATTAACACTAATCTAATATTTTATGTATATTTATTATTTATTGTATATACAGGGTCGCTGTTATGTATGGAAACAGTCGATTATTAGGTAAAATATAGGAGATACCGCAAAAAGTTAAATACATAAATTATAGGATTTTTAAATATCTATTAGCGAGTAATAAATTCATGTATACAGAGTCGGTCATAAAGTCACAAAAGAGCTTTTACAAGAAAAAGTCGCACATCAAAGTTATACTTTTTTAAAGAGTAAATGCATATTTCAATTCTAAGCAAAAATCGAAATATACACAATGTACCTCAAACCAACGGTTTCCGAGAGTTATTGTCTTTTGAAATATGCCATTCTGCCGAAACTGTGATACTTAATAATATTTGACATTAGTTCTCAAGTTAGCAATAATTATAGATGTATAAAATGAGATTATCAAGTCTGGAAATTACAAAATTTAAGTTTAACATTTCAATACTTTAATTTATGTACATTGTGTATTACGATTATTGCTTAAAATTGAAGGAAGAATTGAAATATACATTAATATACAGGGGATTTCATTTAAAAAAAAAAGTTTGATGTGCCACAACTTTATGTCCGACCCTGTATACTTAAATTTGCTAGTAGCTAATAGGCATTTAAAACCCTATAACAACAGTATCACAATTTCAGCAGAATGACATCATTAAATGAAACTGAACATATCGATATTAATTAAATCAAATTGTTTAAGTGATATTCAATAACTCGGAAACGGTTGGTTTGTGGTACATTATGTGTATTTCGATTTTTACTTAGAATTGAAGGAAGAATTGAAATATATAATAATATACAGGTGGTTCTATTTAGAAAAATGAAACTTTGATGTGCCACGGCTTTATGACCGACCCTCTTTACATAAATTTATTACTCGCCAATAGACATTTAAAAACGCTATAATTTTTGTATTTAACTTTTTGTCAGTACCTTGTATATTTTACCTAATAATCGACCGTTTCCATACATAAAAGCGACCCTGTATATATTTTTTTTTAATTTTTGAATTTAATAAAATATCTGTATTTGAAGGGTCAGGCGAAAAAAGCAGATAATAATTTTCTCTCCAAACTGAGAAATTCACGATTTAATGTACAAAACCTTACAAAAATAAAGTACAGGAACTTAACAGAAAAGTACAGAAACAGAAAAAATAGCGGACAAACGTACGAATTCAACAATGAGTTGCCTGGTTATTTCCTTTTTTTGCTTGACTTGCCTATTGTTTTTCCTTTATAGTATAACTTCGAGGCTATATATCTTCTGACTAGGTTCTGTTCCTAAGTTTTTCCCGTTTTGCGGCTTCTAAAGATGCTTACACTCACTCTGAACCAAATGCACCGAATATTTAAATGTAGCAAAAAAATTGACTTACCTGCTTTTTTCCCTGACCCTTCATTTGTACTCGCAAAGAATGTGTAATAAATGAGAAGAACTTGAGATATTTTATGTTATTTATTTAATTCAGTTTATTATTTACTCCTATTTAACAATCTTTCTTTTCTTTTACTTTTTAATTATTTATCGAAAACAAGATTTTTTTAATGAATTATAGGTATATATAATAGTTTCTTTTGTCTCAAAACCAATAATATTTAAGTTAATTTATTATATGTTTTAGTTAGTTTTTTATCAATATATGAGGATTATTATTTTTTTAAAGAAGCTCGTAATGTTTTAGTAAAATTTACATTATTACTAATAATGAGAAATTGCAGCATGCCCCTTTAAATGTATTATATTTTTGTACTGTAATTATCACAAAACATTAACATCTCTCATATGTCAGAGACAGTACTTAGTATATTTAGCCTTATAGTCCTTAGTTTCAGTGTGTCCTAATATGATGTAGTAACATTATTGTAGCCTGATGATGACATCCAAAACTGGGCTCTTTTTAAACTGAATGAAGGTATTATTCCTATCTTTTTTATTTAATTCAATTTTATTTTAAAATCAAAATAGTCCCTATAGAATAGCGACAGAATTTTACCGAATTTACCAAAATATACTATCTAAAAAAATATAATTTAAGACAGCATTTAAACCACTCAGAAAATACAATAAATATAAAATAAAATTTAACTTACTTTAATTCCGAATTAACGTCTAAAAGTTAACTCTAACAAAATCTCTTTACAATCACAACTTCGCGATATTCGCGTAAAATTTTCGAACTCGAATTCTATAGCAAAGCGAAGATCCGAAATGTTCGCTGTCCAGCATCCGACTGACAAGCGGGAGAGCTTTCCCAAGACGAGAAAGATTTTCCAGAGTGGGGATGAAAATCTGATGATGCGGTTTTTCGGCAAAGTTATAACACATCCAGTGAAATAAATAGATTTTGTTTTGAATAAAGCCATTGAATAAAAAGACTACAGATGGAGTATATCAATGAAATTCCGTAAGGATACAAAGCTTTTATTTTACGACGAGTCAATAAATGCGAATAGCTATTAAGATTGTTTAAAATAACAAAGTTAATATAATTAATTAATAACAAAAATACAGATACGTTACTAAAACAACTATCTAAAATTCATAAACTTGACGTATCCTAATTATTTTTGATAAGTAATGCGGATATGTAAGAATAAACATAATTAATTAACTAACTCGTAAGGTATAAATATAACTACTTATTAGTAAAAAAAATGTTCCATTATTCTTAAATTTTCAAAATCGCTCCCTGCAAAAGTAACTGTTTTTTTAAATAGTTTTCTAAAATTCATAATAATCTCACTATAATTCGAGTCGTGGCACAATGTTTTCCGAGATTTATACACTTTGAAGAAATAATAAAAATTAATACAATAAAGCACAAGCTTATTTTAAACGCAAAAAAATTCAAATTTGTTCGGACTTGTCAAAAGAAATGTCAAACAAAAGTATCAGAAAAAATATCGTTCCATGACGTAGGTTCCGCTTCAAATGTAAAAATGTAAAAATACTTTTACATTTTGCTTCTATAGTTTTGTTATTTAGTGTATTCGAATGCACAGACTCTAATAATTCAGCAAAACTTCACTAAGTTTTAAATTATTTGTTATTAATACAATATTTTGTATTGAAGATGTGGTAAAACCTTAAATCCTGCGTGAGTCATCATATTTTTGATAAATATCTTGCATGTATGTTAATGTTTTGATAAATGTCCTGCACGGTGTAATTCAAAAGCAATCGAATACGTAACAAATTATGTTATACAATAGATACCAGAAAGAAATGAGCATCGTATATTAACAAATTATGGTGGGTAAATAAAAATTAATAAATTACCATAAAATACTACATTAAATTACTATGAATTTATATTAAACTAGTTGAAGGCTGGCGCATCCGCCACGACATCAGGAAAAAAATACTTTTTATTTTTTTTAATTAAATGAAAGACAAAAAATCCGGCGACGACAGTTTTTAGAAGAGCCAATTAGCTATCTTTTAGTAAAAAAAGCAATTTTCTAGAGCAAGTCATTACTTGACTAGAGACGATACAGATAACCATTAGCATTTTATATTATGTAGATTTAAGAAATATTCTATATCAATCAAAGCTAGCTTTTCGAAGGTCACAGTGCAGTACATCATATCATTTTTGATACGATTTTCCAGGAAATCCATAAAACATACCCCATTTTTGATTAAATTATTATTTTTTTAATTAATTATTATCTTATAGAGCCAAAACATGAATACTCTATTACCAAATAAAATACATTGAATTATTTTTGTAAAATATTGCAAATTTAAAAAAAATAGTATAATTTTATTAAATAAATCATATGAAGTGACTGAAAAAAAGTCACAATAATAAATGCAGTTGATCTTGTAACAAAGACCGTCAAGGAGAAACCCGGAAAATGGCACGCGCTGATAATAGTAGATGTGAGAAATGCATTTAATATGGCAGCATGGCCTATAATCTTCTCAGAGTTAGCAAAAAGAAACATCAGCCCATATCCTATAAATATTATAACATCATATTTTACACATCGTACTGTAAACTTGGATAAAGACCACCAAGAAGAGGTTGGGGGAGGCGTACCCCAGGGATCGGTTTTGAGTCCTACCCTTTGGAACATCCTTTACGATGACGTAATGGAAATAAGGGTACCTCAAGGAGTAAAAATAATCTGCTACGCAGGAATAATACGCTCCGAAGGAATGATACGCAAAACCGAAGAGGCTTTACACTATATATATATATATATATATATATATATATATATATATATATATATATATATATATATATATATATACTTGTGGATGAATCAAAACCAGTTAGAAGTTGCACCGGAGAAAACAACTGCTATTCTAGAAGAATTTTAGAAAACGCTTTATACGTACACAATTTAAAGTAGGTGGGAAGCACGTTAAACCAACTAATACAGTAAAATACCTCGGAATAACACTGGATAGAGGGCTAACTTACAGTCAACATGTAAAAGATACTTCCGGAAAAGCAAACAGAACTGTCAAAGCTATATGTGGACTACTTCTGAACATAAAAGAACCGTCCTCAAAAAATAAAAGAGTTCTTGCGGTATCAATGCAAGATATAATTCGATACGGCGCGCGGCGCTCCTGTATGGATCGAGGCACTAAAATTCCAACGGACGATATATATACTTGTGGATGAATCAAAACCAGTTAGAAGTTGCACCGGAGAAAACAACTGCTATTCTAGAAGAATTTTAGAAAACGCTTTACACGTACACAATTTAAAGTCGGTGGGAAGCACGTTAAACCAACTAATACAGTAAAATACCTCGGAATAATACTGGATAGAGGGCTAACTTACAGTCAACATGTAAAAGATACTTGCGGAAAAGCAAACAGAACTGTCAAAGCTATATGTGGACTACTTCCGGACATAAAAGGACCGTCCTCAAAAAATAAAAGAGTTCTTGCGGTATCAATGTAAGATATAATTCGATACGGCGCCCGGCGCTCCTGTATGGATCGAGGCACTAAAATTCCAACGGACGAAAAATATATTGTTTTCCATACAGAGAAAAACGGCCCTAAGGATATGTTCAGCCTATCGTACGATATCAACAAATGCCGTGTTGGTTATAGCTGGGCTGATCCCGCTGCATTTAGCAGCTGAGGAAAAGCGAGAGTTATATGTCAAAGCAGAGATTAACGATGAGATGAAAAAACAGCAATGAAGAGGTACCTAACAAAAATGGCAAGAGGAGTGGGATGTATCCGACAAGGGAAGGTGGACTAGAAAGTTAATACACAACGTGGAGGACTGGACGAGTAGGAGACATAGAGACGTGGACTACTACATTAAGCAGTTTCTTTCCGGGCATGGAGTCTTCATGGACTTCTTGCACAGAATAAATAAAATACCAAATGGCAACTGCCTGTACTGCGACTAAATCGACGGCATACGTTGTTCTGCTGTCCAAGATGGGAAAAAAATGTCTGCCTTATTGTCGGGTGTAGGAATGTTAACTTCGGATACCTTGATTATGAAAATGACCAAAACTAGTGAAATATGGGGAAACATAGGGGCATTTATGAAAGAAATAATAATAGAGAAATCATCAACCAGCCTGAAGTGTCCACTGCTGGACGTAGGCCTCCCTCAAATCCTTCCACTCTTCTCGGTCCTGTGCCACTTGGATCCAGTTTCCTCTAAATCTCTTCAAGTCATCTGACCATCTTGTCGAAGGTCTGCCTCTGTTTCTGGGAGCATCTTGTCTTGGCCGCCATTCTAGTATTAGCTTGGTCCATCTATCATCCGTTCTTCTGGCAATATGCCCAGCCCAGTTCCATTTGAGTTTTTTAAGCAGATATATAGCATCTGTTATTCGTGTACGTTGTTTTATAACTGTACTGGGTATCTTGTCTCTTAGAGATACACCAAGCATTGCTCTTTCCATAGCTCGTTGGGCTACACGGATTTTTTCTATGGACTTTTTCGTCAGTGTAAGTGTCTCTGCGCCATATGTAAGTACTGGCATAACGCACTGATGGAACACCTTCCTCTTTAAGCACATTGGTAGATCTGATTTTAACACATATCTTAGTTTGCCGAATGCTGCCCATGTTAGTCCTACTCTTCTTTGTATCTCGTGCGTCTGGTTATCGCGGCCAATTGTTATTTCGTGCCCCAGATATTTATATGAATATACTTGTTCTATATTTGCTCCGTCTACCGAGACATTTCCACTAATAACAAGATTAGTCATTAGTTTGGTTTTTGAATAATTTATGCGTAGTCCAATTTGATCTGACGCCCGTTTAAGTGTTTTTAGCATATTTTGAGCTTCGTGTATTTTGTCTGTAATCAGCACCAAGTCATCAGCAAAACGCAGGTTATTGAGCATTTCCCCGTTAACATTAATGCCCATTTCCTCCCAGTTTAGTCTTTTGAACATATATTCTAATAGTGCTATGAACAATTTGGGGGAAATTGTATCGCCTTGCCGTACTCCTCTTTTAATACGGAATTTATTTGTGTTTTCGTGTAGCGATACAGATGCTGTTGCATGGTCGTATATATATTTTAAAAGGTTAGTATAACGGGTGTCTATACGACATTCGGCTAGGGCCTTGAATAATTTGTGTTGATCGATAGAGTCGAATGCCTTTTCGTAGTCGACAAATATTAAAATGAGGGGTTTATTATACTCAACACATTTTTCTATTAGGGACTTCACCACCAACAGATGGTCATTTGTACCGAAGTTCGATCTAAATCCAGCCTGTTCTCTTGGTTGATATTGTTCTAGTTTTAGGGAGAGACGATTTGTGAGGATTTTTGTGAATAATTTGTATGTGTGGCTCAGTAAACTAATAGGCCGATAGTTGGTAAGGTTTGTTTTGTCCCCTTTTTTATGTAATAGGATTATATTGGCATTATCCCATTCTGATGGCGTTCTTCCTTCGACAAGACATTTGTTGAATAATATTTGCAAAGCCTTGAGAACCTTTTCTCCTCCTTCTTTAATGGCTTCAATAGCTATATTGTCGTCACCGGGAGACCTATTATTTTTCATAAAGTATAATGCCGCCGATATTTCATCTAAAGTAATATCTGGGATTTCTTCTGAGCCTTGATTCATCACAGTTGGTATGGTACTATACGAGTTTCTAGGGTTTGGGTTGTCATATAACTGCTGGTAGAAATTTTCCTTCTGCATTTTGCAATTTATGAATTAGTGCTCTCCCTATGCTTGCCTCTTTTTTGAAA